GCCTTACTAGTAGTAACAAGAAGCTATTAGTAACAAGTGCCTTACTACTAGTAACAAGAAGCTACTAGGATACTTCTTGACATTTATATTTGATCAGGAAGTTCCTCGAAAGCTTCGCCCGGGATTGAATCATCCAACATCCCCCGAGGCCCTTCAACCCGGACGAGTCCTACCTGGATGAGGTGATCGGATATCCCTTGGCCCTTGTTGGCTTCTACTTCCAGGCCAAAAACGAAAAGCAGCGTGTCATTAGCTGACCAGTTTCCATTTTGCATTTCTATGGGACCTGATGACCTGATGCCTTTGTTCACAGCCTCCGTGTCCTCCCATGTGTGTCAGGGTTATATCGTGGAGAGAACGCTCGCTCGGTTTTGCTTGGTCTCAAACACCCGGTCCGACGCAGATGACGCACTACTTCGGTGTCTTGCCCTTCCCGTTGGATTGGCTTCTGTGGCCCCTGAGCTTTGTCGAGGGGCTTCTGGAGATCCAGGCGAAATCATGTGGGGAAGGGTCTAGTGTTAGTCCTTTTTGTGGATTCTGTCCTGCCCACAAACATAGAGGTGGTGTCCATCCAGCTAAGCTCCTACCAATCGCTCCATAGTCTTTGGATGCTTTGTGAGCCCCGTAGGCAAGACGTCTCCAAACCATGGTCTGTCGTTCTTACTCTTCAGAAGCATTCTTTGGTATTTGTGCTGTGCTCTACCGTGCCGCACAATCTTTTGCATTGTGCCAGATCAGCTGGTGAGATGAGGCCAGACCTTATGCACTCGGATGTAGTTATGTGAGCTTTGTGTAAAGAAGGACCCTGAAAGTAATGGCAATTGCGTCAGGAAGCCAGCCATCTGAGCTTACAAACTGCTTTTGCCGGCTAAGACCCTAGCCTTAGCCCACAACTCAGCCAACGTTTGGCAGATTTGCGCCAGCCCTCGTGATTTTTGGCCACTTCTCATCAAGATTCGGCTGTAGCAACTTGTTGGGTGTCGAGCTGACGCAAGCGATCACAGATTCAGATGCAGGTGAAGGCTGACCAGCCTTCTTTGCCCAACCATAGCTTAGAAGAGTAGCTAGCACAACACAGCCAAGAAGTGAAGAAAAGAGAAGAAAAGCTCGTTTTGGAGCGATTAAATCTGACTTCTGTCCGCTTTCCTTTTCCACCTCGCTTCCTTAAGCCATGACGCTTTGGCATGGCTTGGCTTAAGGGAATGACAAGAGCGCAACCCGTGTGAACCCCAACACACGCAAGTGAGCTCATGCGGAGCTAGGAGAGAAGGCAACCTCACCTTCCTCTCACCATACCTCATTTTGGCAGCTTCGGTTTCCTTGGCATTGTGAAGGAAGCCGTTTCGAGTTATTCATTCCAACTCAGCTTTGTGGCCCAAACAATAGAGGTAGCCCGTTGGGGGGCGTGAGCTGAAGGGCGCGCCTTGGATGCAAACTGTTGTTTATTCAAGTGTTGTCTTCCAGGGTCTTTTGCGTTCCTTTTCTTCTGGGAAGGGCTGGTGAATCGTTGAGGCCCCTGCAGGATGACGGAGTTGGCCGACATCCTGCCCATTTTTTCCAGCTATGCCTCCAACGCCAACGAAGTGGATGGAAGGAGCTCCTGTTTGGTGGGCTTTGGTTTCAACGGCCTTAAGTTCTTGGTAATCCTTTTTGGGAGTCTGTTTAAAAAGGTGTCCTCCAATGTGTACTGTCAAAAAGTTGATAATTTGATATAATTTGCTTACATAAGTATCCGAGATAGACCTGGGAAGCAGCATCAAAAGGATCCAACTGGGAGCAATCCAGCATGCAAACCTTGCACTGCCCAAGCGGCGGCGATATGCATGTCTATCCAAAGATCTCCCCAGGGAGTGGGCGATATGCGTGTCATCACATCGCAGAGATTTGACCCGCTTGTGTGCTTTTTGCTGTGAGGAGCTTCACCAAGCTCTGCAAAGATTGCGGCCTCTTTGTGGCTCGGTGGAATGGGACGATCGGCCCGGAACGGGGCTTTCCTGATTTAGCCGACACAGGCTATATATATATATACTGTAAGTACTAGGGCCAAAAAGTCATATCCTCACCAAAGTTCAGTTATATAAACATGTGAGTCTACTTTATTGACTCATGTTGCCTCATTGTCAGCAACCAATTATGCGCTGCAGGTTCTTTGCTTGTAATTAAATACCCAGCTGGCGTGGAGATGACCCAAATGTGAACCAGCCTGCCAGTTTGGCATACTCAGTGACTAAATCTTTATGGATTCTTCGATCTGAGCTTTGGACAGCTGCGAGCGATCAGGACCGGAATTTCAGCTCCACAGATGCCGACCTGATCTTTGCCAGAGTTGTGCCCAAGGCGGGACGAGGGTTGGGTTTTATAGAAACACGCTCGAACGGGGAGACCGTTTCTGATACTGAAGACCTGTTGCTGTGCCAGGGGCAGAGGAGGATTTCCATCACTGAGTTTGAGAAGGATGGGTGGGGGAGCACGCAGGGCAAGGTTGATACGAATGAAGAGCCTCAAGGTAAATCGGCAAACGAACCTCTTTGAAACAGATCTTGCTGCTTGCTTATTCTTTCTGTGTGGGACCGATCTCTTGGAATTCCCTTTGTGGCAGCCTTCAGGCTCTGGGTCTGATCGCCGAACGGAGGAGCTGCTCCCAGGAGATTTGCGTACGATGGCGGGTACAGAGAGTTGAGACATCCAAGTCATCCATGCTCAAACAGGGTCGCTCTCGAAAGAGTACCTCCAACAGCCTTCACAGCTGGAAAAGGAGACGTCAACGTCTGCCACTAAACTTTTGGTATAGTTATTTGGCCAGTGCTCGGCTTGAGCACTCCAAGTGAACTTTTATTGTAAGTTTTCTTTACGTTTTTCAGATGTTAAGACATTTATTTAAGCGAGGTGCGTTCTGTGAAGCGCCCACAGCTGGAAATGCGCCATTTTCATCAGGAGGATGTGATGCAGAAGGTGGCAGACAGTGCTGGGCCGTCCTTGGAGGGCACCAAGGCAGATGCGGTCCTTTGGCCAAAGGGACCATTTGGGGATTTCTACTTCTGAGATGGGATTCAGGGCTGCAGATGCTAAGGGGGGTAGGTTTGTAAGGTGTCGTCGTGCTCCCCGACCTTCCCTGAAGAAACCAGAAACGACTCCAAACTCTCGAGATCGCCCATCGCTCTATCGACCTGCCCACTTAAGATTCTCAATAATTGACGGCATAGGTATCAAAAAAAATCAAAAGAGCATCAAAAAAAACAGGATCAACATAAAAGTAAAAAGCGAATCAAAAAATAAATATTCCTTGATAGGCCTCTTCTGCTGCTCTCCTGGCCTTGTGGTCTGCGGGTCCTCTGGTAATGTGGTCCCTTGGTCCTCTGGTCCACTGGTCCTTTGGTCCCCTGGTCCCTTGGTCCTTTAGTCCACTGGTCCCCTAGTCCTCCGCTCTCCTGGTCCTCTGGTCCTGTGGTCCGCTGGTCCCCTGGTATCCTAGTCCTTCTGTCTCCGAGCGCTCTGACAACGCCATGTAGGGCCTAACTTCGTGTGAACGCCGTGACTACTGCTACTGCTACCACTACTACTACTACTACTCCTGCTGCTGCTGCTGCGCTGCTGCTGCTGCTGGTGCTGCTGCTGCTGCTGCTGCTGACTGCTACTGCTACTGCTACTGCTACTGCTACGCTGGTGCTGTTGCTGTTGCTGCTGCTGCTGCTGCTACTGCCACTACTACTACTACTACTACTACCCCAACCATCCTCAGTGGGCTAGAATATTACTTTTTTTGATTACCTTTTTATTTTTTTTATTGATCCGTGTTGAATATTTTTTGTGATTCTATTTAGATTTATTTTGATCCCTTACCCATAATTGACGATCTTGATTAATGTTTCCACCGATTCCGGCATCGCCACCTGTCAGGGTTGGACAGGGCAGATGGTGTTTGTTTGGTGCACCCAAAAGCCCCCCAGAGTGGTGATCTTTCTCCGGAGCACAACTAGGCTTTTGGGCCAGAGAACGAGGTCCTTGGTCCTTGGTCCTTGTGTGAAAAGATGAGGTTCGGCTGCATGATGACAAGCAGACCTACACGGGCGTGCATGCACGCGGAGGACCAGATTCAGTGCCGAAGGCGAGACACACTCGAGAAGATGCCCATCGGACATGTGCTAGCGTTGATTCTACATCGTCGATGCTCTTACTGTAGATCTGTAGTCGGTGCATGCACCAGCACAATCTATTCACCTTTCCAGTTTCCAGGAGAGCATTCTTTCTTCTCTTTTGTGGAGTTGTGGACCCAAATCCAGCTCTCATTTGCTTTGTTGAGCTATCAATTTGGTCTGCAAAGGGCTATGGGCATGTGCCGGGCACGAGCAGCCTGACCCTGGGGCGCAGAGACTCCAAAGATCGCCGTTCGCTCTCGCGGACGCCCAGTGGAGCGGCAACTCGGTGAAAGAAAGGGAGTGGTTGATCTCGGCAAACTGTATGACATGCAATTGTCAGTTCCATGTGATTTTCATGCAATTTGACCTTGTCAGCTCTCCCACTCTTCTTTTTCTCGTTTGACATTTCCTTAATCAACCGTTGTTTGCCAGCTGTGCAGTTTGCTCATGCTGTCCTTCCTTGAAGGCATGTCCGTTGCCGAACCTCCTAGCCTCTGGGCCAGCTGTTGAAAGAAAGCTGAGCAGAAACATGGCGGGAAGAGAACATGAGTACCCGAGGGGCTGGGGAACATTGGTGGCGGTTCAGCCTTGGGTAGTTGAACTGCTGCTTGATGCGAGGGCGAGATATCCAAGTTGAAAAGATTGTTGTTATTGTTGGGGTGATTGCCCACTTCTCAGACAGCCTTTGATATACTTGCACTCACTAAGGATGATGTGATTCGTTTGCGCTCAAGCTCAGGTGCATGGACTGGGCCCCTAAGGTTTTGAGGTTCATCCTTTCAGGGGCGCAATCCCATTGGTGGGGACTCGCTTGTCCGTCGCATTGCTTTGCGTCTGGACTTCCATCCTTGCTCGCCGCCTACCTTCTTGGACTTCTTTCAGGCTTGCTTCTTGCGGTTCTCCTCACCCTTTGGGGCTTTGGCTATCTGCCGGCTCATCCTCCGTGGACTTTGGCTTCCGAGGCATCTGGGCTTGTCCTTCCTCCCGAGCGGGTCAAGGCCTACGTGAATGAGCAGCCGCTCATCGCCCTTGCGCTGAGACGACGAGGAGCTTAGCCTACCCTTGGAGTTCCAGGGTCTGCAGATCTCAGTGCGAGGCAACGCAGCCAAGGCAGCATCCTTTGTGCAGCGGTTGGCTACAGATCCCGGCTCTAGTTCACAGGGCCCTTCTGGTTATTTGGCTCACAGTCAGCCTACTCACCATCCAGTGCCTTCAGTCGCTCCGAGCATTGCTTTCTTGGCAGCTCAGGAGGTTGAACCATCCACTCCGCCGTCAAGGTACGAGACAAGGCAACGTTCGCGGCTTGCCCATCTTCTCTTGGGCTGGCTTCTTCTTTGTCTACCACTGCAGGAGGGTGGACAGCCGACCAGCGCATTCAGAGGGCCTGGAAGGCTGGAAAGTGGGCAGGTGCAGTCCGTGAAGGACGGTTGGGTAGTCCAAACCGGACACCGACCATTGACATCGGGATACGCGGTTGTCAGGGGACCCAACATCGACGCCCCCAAGATCTACAAGAGCAGCCGTGAGCTGTTTGTGGCCGTTGGACAGCTGGAGGGTTCAGACACTATCTGCCACGGCTTCCCTTCGAAAGCAGAAACTCAGGTCTACTTGGCTGGAGCAGGCATGACAAGGAGCAATGGAGCTTTGTTGGCACTTCCCGAATTACAGATGCCCACGCCCTGGATCTTGGAGCTATGTCGGACGAAGTTTCAATTTTGCAGGGGCCAACTCCGGTGATGGACCGTTCCGTCTCAGCAGAGCTTGTAGACTTCAATGCAGAGATTTTTCAATATCTGAGAGGGATAGAGGACACCTCAGAAGTTATGTCAGTTTTGGCCTTCGACTACCGCGAGC